GGGAATCTGCAGGGCTGGCCATCCTCGGTGAGCACTGCTGGGGAGACGGCAGGGTTATCCTGGTGGCTGCATGCCCCCCCAGCCCACCTGCAGGGGCAGCAGGACACCCCCGAACCCGTCTGACCCACCTTGGCCCTGGAGACTACGGCTCGAGGGAGCTGGCCTGGGTGGGAACGGGAGCCTGCCACCCTGGGGTCCCTCTGCTGCTGGAACACTTGGTGCTGGGGTCTCCGAACTCATGGAGGTCACTGGGGTCATGGAGATACCGGGGGTCACTGAGGCATTAGGTTTTGGGGGGTCCGTATGGTTCTAGGAGGAGTCAGCAGAGTGTTGATGTGGGACAGCCCCCGGGCACTCAGGCCAGACTGGGCCGCTCAGGTCTAGGAAGAGGTGGGGGACGCTGGACCTCCCTGAGCCTCAGCTCGGCCCAGCTCTCCCACCCAGCCCAGGCAGGTTTTTGGTAGTTCCTCAGAGCTGCAGCCCAGGCTGAGCACCAGTGCAACTCTAGGGTCCTTTCTGGGGTGGCCAGAGTATCCGGGAGCCCTCAGATGCCCCCATCTCCACTTCATCACTCGGACCCAACAGAGGCCCAGAGAGGGGGGCAGCTCCATACCCCCAAGGGACCAGACAAGGTCACACGGGGATGAACAGTCCCCTCCCAGGCCCCTTAGAAGGCACTTCTCACTACCTGGGTCCCCCCACATTGGGCCCCTGGTCCAATCCATGCTCCTGCCTGGGGACCCCCCCCTCTGACTTCATCCCAGGGACCCCTGGCCACCCTGCAATCGGGGTCAGTGCTCACCCCGCTGGCCTGGGGCTGGACCCCACGAGGCAGCATCAGCATCAGCAGGAGGAGGGGACACAGCTTGGGCGAGGGGCAGGGGCCGGGGACCCAGGCCCAGCGCCCCATGGCTCCTCCTGGGCTGGCGTGAGGGCAGCGGTAACAGTGTGGCCAGGGCAGGTGAGGTCAGGGCCTCATGGAAATGATTAACCCTGGCTATCTCCTGTGCTGAGCCCACATTGGAACTCCCCAAAGTCTCCAACCCCCGCACCTGCTGTCCAGCACACCCTGCTCCTGCCTCAACAGCTCAGCCTTCCTGCTGGCCTTCACCTACACCAGTCCTGGGTCTCAGCCTCAGCTTACAAGCCTGCACCAGGAAGTCTTCCAGGATAACACAGGTTGGGGCCTGGATTCCCTGGCCTGGGTTCTTCTCCCTGCCTGTCACAGAACGGCCATTGTCCATTCATGAACTGTCATATGCTAAGCCTGACACAGAGGCCCACTGAATCAAAGTGGGGTGGCATCGTCCCTGTTCCACAAGGGCTCCCACAGGGAGGGGTCATGCACAAGGCTGAGTGTCACAAGTGACGACCCCAGGATGGGGACCCTCGTGACCTGCCCCTTCTGCCTGTCCTAACTTTGGGGGTAGTGAGGGCCCCCCCCAAAGCTACTTGTGATGTTTACAGTGTCCCCTCCCCCAGGAAGCCCTCCCAAGCCCTGGACTCCACTGCATCCTGGATGTGCTGAGCCAAGCCTGAGTCTGGCTTCATCCCAGGGACCCTTAGTCACTCTGCTAAGACCTGGTGCTGTGGGGTCTGTGGTGCTAGAGGTTTCTTGAGTATCTCTGAGCCCCCGCACAGCCCTGGGCCAGGCACCAAGGAGCCAGAGGATACCACTTCTAGGCAGAGCGAGATTGTCACCCCATGTGTCCCATGGAATGTGTGACCTTGGGCTATAGCAGAGCTGCCTCGGGAACCTCTTCTTAATTTCTGAGCAGCCAGCATGGTGCCTCCAGTGAGCCAGCAGCTCTGTCCTGTGAGCACTGGGGGTCAGGGGAGGGCCCTCCAACCCGAGGCCTGGGGATTGGCTTGGGCTGAAGCCACCTTGCTGTGTACTTCAAATCCCACTATCTGGGCCCTCGTTTTCTCATCTGTGCAGAGGGAAGGAGAGTGGACACTGAGTGACCACCCAGCTTGTAGCAGTGACTTGGGGGCCTGTGGGTGCTGGGAGAGCTGATAGGTGCTGGAGGGGCTGTGGCTGCTGACAGGGGCCCGTGGTGGGTGCTGGGCCTGTAGGTGTGAAGCCTCGTTCTGGCCTCAGAGCCCCTGTACATGGCTGATGCCATCTCCTAGCCCTCGGCAGTCAGGTTTCATCTTGGATGCTCCTTCCCGAGAGGCCTTTCCTGACCATCCCACTAAATGAGGTAGGCACCCGGCTGAGAGCTGCCGTCAGCTGTGACCACTGAGCGTGTCTCCCAGGGGAGCCTGCCCCTCCCTACAGAGGAGACTGGGAGGAGGGGGCAGATGCCAAAAATCCCTGTGGCAATCTGTAGGGGATGGTACCAAGTAGACTAGACCCAGACAGGGCCAGGCCCCCTCCTTTGAGTCCCTTGGCCTCCCCACCAAGCTCTGTCCTCTCCCCAGCCCTCTCCGCCTCCTGTAGTGCTCTGAGTGTTCAGGGAGACCCACAGGAGTGTGGGTTCCCCAGGGCAACTGTGCATCCCCAGCACCCAGCAAGACACCTGGTGGATCCCCAGCAATGCTTTATTAGATGGAAGCTGAGTGCCAAGGGGCAGCATGGCTTGGTCTGAGGACCTGTGGCCACCGTGGGAGTGTCTGAGGGAAGTCCGTCCAATGTGATTGTTCCCTTTGTCCTGGTTTGGCTCCTGAGGGAGTGGCTGCCAAAGTGGCCCCTCCAAGGCGCTGGAGCAAATTCTCAGGCCACACACGCACATGTCCACATGAGAGTTGGCCAGGCTGGGAAACTTTAAACGAAGGTGGCGTGGAATGTGCTGGCCTTGGGCTTGGGAGGCTCACGTGGGCCAGGGCTCGGGCCAGGCATGTCTGGGGTCGGGGGCCCACTGGCCCCTAACCGCCTGGGACCTGTCTGCAGCCCCAGGCTGTTGCCACCCAGCCCGAGTGCGGAGCCAGCAACCAGATCCACGTCGATGATTGTGTTAACCGGGAGGCCTCGACTGCCACGGGACTCACCTCCTGTCAAAGGGAAAATAAGCTGTCAACGGGCCTGGCCCAGCCCTGTGCTCCTAGAACCGCCCCCACTCCCTGGCCTTGCATAGACCATAGACACTGGCTGGGGGTGCCCTGAAACACCCTGAATCCATCCTACTGGCAGGTCCTCCAACCTGTGGCCAGGCCCGTTCCCAGCTCAGTCTGTAGACCCCGCAGCCCTGGGGACAGAGCCCTGGGCAAGCAGGATCAGACACTGTGGGAAGGGTCCAGAGGCCAAGGCAGCTGGGTCAGGAACGTCAGCAGAATGATGAGGGGGCTCAGGGTGCTGGTGGCTCTGTGGGGGCTGGGGGACCCTGGCTGTCCTTTGGCTCTTGGGTCCCTCCTCTGTCCCAGGGTCACCTGGGAGCTGGTTAATGTCCATTCTCTGCTCCTGCCCCTAACCCAGTCTATGCAAGGCCTAGGGGAATGTCTCACCCACTCGAGGGGCACTTGAGCCCCGGTAGCTTCACCCACCTGGGCACTCCTGACCCACTCTCCCCTCTTAGTCCAGCCTCTAGCAGTCACCTTAGCCTAGAACACCATTCCCCAACCTGCCTCCACCTCCTCATGCTTCCAGGTGACACCTGGGGCCTTCCCCATGGGACCCATAGCCCCAGTGACACTGGACTGTTCCCAGGTCCGGGCAGTGTGCCTAAGGTGGGATTTATGACATAGGAAAAAGGACTGCAGTGTCCTGCCCAGGCTCCTGTTTGTTCCAGGTGGGAGCTGGGATGGCAGAGTAACTGCCTGGGGGGGGCAGAGTCCAGGCCCAGGCCTAGCAGTGCAGAGGGATGAACGTGTCCCTGGGACCCAGCCAGCTTCCAGGAGAGTGGAGTACGGGAACTGGCTCTATGAGAACCCCTGCACCTTGGCTGCCACCCACTCACACACCCCCTTGCAGCTCAGCAGGGACAGAGCTGGGCTCTGGGGTCCCCAGTCAGAGGGTAGCCCAACTGCCTGTATCACCTTAGGGTGGCCCCAACTCCTCCTGAAGGGCCAAGCACTGGGGTGGGGGTAACTCCCAATATGCAAGTCCATCCACCAACAGCCAGGCGGAACAGGGCCCTTAACCCCCGACCCCAACCCCACCCTCTATCCTGGCCACCTGGCTGTCCACTTTTGCTCACTTCACTCTCACACACCCTCCTCTGGATCTGGGTCCTCTGTCCCTCTGTGCCACTACCTCCAGCCCTTCACAAGCCCTTTACCCCATCGGTCCCCTGTCATCTGCCATCCTGACCCCCCATGGCATCTAGCCCCTACAGAGCCCCCTCTTCTGGGCTGCCCACCTGTCTTGCCTCTAGCAGTCCCCAGATGTCTGAAATTGCCTTAGAAACTTCTAAAGCCCCAGCTGGGCAGGCTCCATCCCCCTGCCATACCCCCAGGCTATTGCTGGCCTAGCTGGTCCCCATATGGGCCCATTAGGACAGAGTGTCCATCCTGGGATGGAGTCCCCAGGGACCAACACAGGGTTGGCACAGCAGGGACCTGGAGGTGCTCATGGAGTGAGATTCAGTGCAGGATCAGTTCTGGGCCTGCTGCTCCCCTCTGACATGGCTCTCGGATGTGGGCAGGACAGTGGGTCAGGGCAAGCCCTACCTCCCTCCACCTGCAGGATGGGGGTGAGTCACCTAACACAGAGAGGGGATTGAGGGCAGGTTCCTGAAGGTCCCAGCACTCTTCCCCGAGGTAGGTGTCCAGCCAGTCTCCTCAGGTGGGCCTAGAGCCCAGCCCTTGAGGTGCCCTGGGCCCATGAGAACCTGCCAGCAACCTGCCTCTACAACAATGCCCAGCTGGGACTGGGACTGTCTACAGTGGGGGTGTGACTGGATTAAAGTTCTTCTTTCTGCAAATATTTACTGGGTACCGTTGAGGGGGAGGACAGAGCATGTGGGGGATGGGCAGTCAGGAGGTGATCCTGGCACAGGCTTACACTTGGGCAGACCCTGGTGGGTGGCCACGGGCAGGAGCCCTAGCAGTGCCAGCCCAAGGTGAGCACAGACAGCAAGTCCCAAGAGAATGCGTGTGTGGAGCAGGCCAGGCTATGTTCACTTGCAGGCCTGGGGCTATAACCCTAGGAGGCCTGGCTGTGCCAGTAGGCGGAGTGAGGGCAGCTTATGAAGGGAGTTGGGAGGACCAGGAGTTACAGCCCAGACTGGGTCTGCAGAGGAGGGGCTGGGCCATCTGGTTAACTCTGGGAAGCCCTGGGAGGAGTGGACAGGACGGGTGGAGTGGTTTGCAGGCACCAGCAGGAGCTAGGTGTTCAGGTCCAAGCTTCATTCAGCAAGCCCCAAGCCCCTTGGGGAGGGGGATCTAGAGAGGCCCCTAGCAGATGGCGGAGTGCATCCCCAGCAACTTTATAGGCCTAAGACCAAGGGCTGCTGCGTCCCAGAGAAAGCCAGGCCTCCCAGTCTGCATCAGGATGAGATGTCTGGGCTGCATTTATGCCTAGGGAGGGCTGAGCCCCTTACTCCCAGAAGGTACCCCTGTGGGTACCTGACACACCTCCTCACAGTCCTGAGGCACCCCAGGCCCCCAGGGGCTCTGACTGGACAGACCTGTCAAGGGAATCTCTCTCACAGGTGTCCCTCTGGACAGTGCAGGAGCAAGGCCAGGCCAGGCCTCACTGAGCTTCTGCAGGAGTGACACCGGCTGGGGTTGGTGGGGGAGCCTAGTGCAGATGGGCTCCCAGGACGACAAACACACGAGGGTCGTGGTCTGGCCACCTCGGTCCCCTGAAGCCTCACCTCTGGGCCTGCTCTGGCCCCACTGTGCGAGGCTGCAGAGCCAAGTGCCCCTGGCTGGAGCCAGACTCTTAACTCCCTGAGAGCAGCCTTGTGCCCAGACACAACCCTTGGGGACCTTGGCAATTGTGACACTGGGCTAGGAGGCCTCTAGTGAGCTGGCCTTGGGGGACCCCAGCCCAGAGGCAGCTGTGCGAGGCCCCCTTTTGAGGGATGCCTGGTGCCACTCTGCTGCCTGCCAGTCTGTGGTCTGCTGGACTCCTCCCACCACCTGGGCGCCTGCTGGCCCAGTGCTCACTCCAAGGAGCCAAGGGGTCCCCAGTGCAGGGTCTGTCAAGGCTGCAGGTCATGGAGAAGGCAGCTCCTCTGTGGCTCTGGACTGAGATCTGCTCACCACAGATTCAGTTCCACGAAGGTGTTTTCCTCAAGTGGAAAACATGTCCTCAGGGCCTGATCCCCACACTCTCCTTGAGCACCAGAAGAATTTCCCGAGGGCAGGAATCTCGGAGCCAGACACACCAACTCCCTGTCTAGCCAGGGTTTTGTTGGAAACTGGGTAGCTCCGGGATGAGTCCTTCTGAGCCATCACCAAACCAGGCAAGTCTGGCTTTAGGGCTGGCCCTCTGTGGGCCTGCATCTTCCTGAGCACACACAGGGACACAGTGTCTGCTTCACTAGAGACCAAGGCCATGCTACAGGCCCTGTGCCAGCATGTAGAGAGCCTGTCTGAACTCCCTACATGTGCCACTTATGTGTTCTGGAGAGTTCCCTCATCAAGATACAAACACTGCACAAAATATGCCAGAAACACAAGACACACAGATGCACACCAGGCACACACGCCACGTGGACGCACACCACACACAGGCCACGTGGACACATAGCACACACAATGCTACCTGGACACACAGCACACACAGGCTACATGGACACACAGCACACACAATGCTACCTGGACACACAACACACACAGGCCACGTGGACGCACACCACACACAGGCCACGTGGACACACCACACACAATGCTACCTGGACACACACCACACACAGGCCACGTGGACACACACCACACACAATGCTACCTAGACACACACCATACACAATGCTACCTGGATACACACCACACACAGGCCACGTGGATGCACACCACACACAGTCCACGTGGACGCACACCACACACAGGCCACATGGATGCACACCACACA